TTATCTTCTGTGTCTGTGTTAATTGGTTTCCCTTTTCTTTGTTGAAGAGGGTCTGTGCAATCCTTCTGCCTAGTCCACCATCTTGCCCCGCCTCCTTGGTCCCCTTTTTTTTTGTTTTTATAAAACACTTTTTAAAAACTGCTTTACTGAGATATCACATACCATGAACTTCACCCATTTAAAGGAAACGGTGATTTTTAGCATATTTACCGGGTTGTGGTATTCTGGTAATTTTGTATACATAGAATCACACAATGTGGGTTTTTTTGTGACTGGCTTATTTCACTGAGCAAAATGTTTTTGAGGTTAATCCATGCATCATTATGGTAGCATGCGTCATTACTTCACTTATCATTGAAGAATTTTAAGGATGGTGTTCTGGTTACCTAGTGCTGCTCTGACAAGGATATACCACAAATAGGATGCTTGAACAAACAGGAGTTTATTCTCTTACAGATTGGAGGCTTTAAGTCTGAGTTCAAAGGGCCAAGCTCTAGGGGCTCGGTGAAGGCCCGTCAATCTTGGGTTTCAGCTCTGCCTTCTGCTCCTGGCCCACTGGAGCTAGAGGCTTTTCCTCACTCAGACAGCTGCTGGCTGCTGAGACTGACAAGCCCAAGGTTGACAAGTAAAAAGGCACAGCCCCAATGTTACCAAACCACATGGCAGACCATTAATTCAAGTCCATTATAAGTCCCAAGGTTGGCAGAACATGGCAGGCTGCTGAACAATGACACAGTTACATGCAGGGTTCAAGTGTGCCATAAGCTAGAGACCATTCCCAAAGCTGCTGTTTATATACGGGAAGCAGCCCACATCCCTAAAGCAGCTACTTAGCTGCTTGTGGTTGGTAGATCCCACCATGAAGCTGATTGCCAGTCTCATCTTGAGGAATAACTACTACCAGCTGCCCAGTCACTCAACCAGGCCCAGCCAAGTTGACACACAACAGTAACTACCACAGATGGCATAGAACTGGGGAACATTTCATGCTATTATGCATAAGGTTACTGTGAGTCAAAGCCGATTCAACGGCACCTAATAACAGTAACAACAATGTCCCACTGGAATAATGTTTATTGTTATCCTTCTTTAGGGTTAGGGTTAGGGTTATATAGGGTTATCTATTCATTCCTTGATGGACATGTAGGTTGTCTCTCCTTTTTGTCTATTATGAATAACACTGCTGTGAACATTCATATCCAATGTTTTCTTGCCTGTACTTCAGGTATTGTGTCTCACAAATCATTGCTTCACCCAGTGTGGAGATGATTTACTTCTGTAGCTACAAAATATGTTTCCAGATCCTGCTGTGTTGGGAACTGTGGACACAGACATGGTCATTGCCTGTGTGATCACTATGAGTAGTCCTCCTTAAGATTCACTTTGTAATATTCATTGTATTCCTAGTTATAAAGAGGATGCAAGCTGTTTATGGTTATTGAGTGGTGTCTGAGATCCTAGGCCTGGGTGACTCTTCTTATTTCTCTTCTCTGCTTAGGATTTGCTCCCTCAGATTTCATAATCTGCCAGGTAATCTGTGATGAGGAGCCCTGGTGTCCAACAGGGTGGTTGTGAATCCAGCGGTAGTAAGAGAGGCCTGGAGGGGTCCTGGTGTTGAGAAGTGTCAGTTGGGCATGGAGTCATGTTGAAGATGGGCTCAGACGATGTCAGGAAGTTGGTATTCTGGTGCCAGGACCAGTGGCTCCTGCTTCTTTTGCACTTCTGGCATTTTGTGCTTTTGCCATTACCTAACTTCCTACCTGTGGCTGGGCACCACCTCTCTGGCCTCCCCTCTTCTCCTGCTCATGCACTGCTGTCCCACAGTGGCCTCTTGTGGATGTTACAGGGTGTGTGCACACTGTGCATACTTTTCTAAATACTTGAGTACCAGCTATTCAGTTGCATTTGTATTTTCTGGGGCCGGGGCACAAGCATCTGTGCAGCACTTGCAACCAAGACCATGCTGAATCCTGCTGGCAGTGAAGGGAGTTGGAGATGCTATCTCTACTCTCTGTCTATACCCCATTGCTATGTGATCCCCCTGGTGAGGCCTTCCTTATTCTGTGGCCTGTCTTCCTTATTCTGTGGCCTGCCTGGGCCCAGCATGCCCTTCTTCACCCTGATTCTGACCCTTCAGAGTGCCAGCTAGCCATTGGGCCCACTCCTGGTATATCATTCACACATTTCAAATGAAGCCACTCTGGTCCACTAAGTGGAACATGCAGTTAATTGGCATTTTTTCTGCTTTCAGGGCATTGGCATGGAGTAAAGGTTAAGAAGTTCTCTCCTAAGCAGGGCGTTTCTGTAGAAGGAGTGTCACAGGTCAAGATCCCCAATGCAACTCTTTCCACCCAGAAGGCTGACACCTGTGATATGTGTGGCCCATTCTTGAAAGACATTTTAAACCTGGATGAAAATCAAGGAACACACCCTGAAGAGAAATCATACACATGTGGAGCATGTGGGAGAGACTTACGGTCCAGTGTAAAACTTAACCAGCACAAGAAGGAGCATAGTGGAGAGAATCTCTTCACATGGCACAAGGACAAGGACTCATTTGTGAAGACCTATAATGAACACCTGTCACAGAAGCCTTTCATTTATGGAAAGGGTGGGAAGGATGTCCCAGACAACTGGGACCTCCAGCGCCAGCCCATTCACAGCAAGGGAAAGCCACATAGCACCAAGCACAGAGAGACCGTCCCATACAGCTCCAATTTAGCACAGCTTCCAGGAATCCACACTACACAGGGACTCTTCAAGTGCAACAACTGTGGAAAAGCCTTCCTTAAGAGCTCTGCCCTCCTCAACCACCTCAGAACTCACTCTGAAAAAAGACATTATAGCTGCCCAACAGGCAGAAATTCTTTCAAGGGAAAATCAACCCTTGCTAATCACCAAAAGTTTCATATTGGGGCAATATCCCATGTGTGTAAGGAGTGTGGTAAAGGCTTCAGTCATCTGTCTAAACTATGGATGCACCAGAAATTTCACACCGGAATAAAATATTATGAGTGCAGTGAATGTGGAAAACCCTTTAGCCACAAGATCACACTCGTACGTCACCAGAAAATTCACACAGGAGAAAAGCCTTATGAGTGCAATGAATGTGGGAAAGCCTTCAATAACAGGTCACACCTCATTCGACACGAGAAAATTCACACTGGAGAAAGGCCTTTTGAGTGCAGCAAATGTGGAAGAGCCTTCAGCCAAAGCTCCAATTTCCTTCGGCATCAGAAAATTCACACCCAGGTAAGGCCATATGAGTGCAGCCAGTGTGGGAAAGCCTTTAGCCGCAGCTCTGCTCTCATTCAGCACTGGAGGGTTCACACTGGAGAAAGACCATATGAATGCAGTGAGTGTGGAAGAGCCTTTAGCAATAACTCTAACCTTACTCAGCACCAGAAGGTTCACACTGGAGAGCGGCCTTTTCACTGCAGCGAATGTGGGAGAGACTTCAGCCAAAGCTCTCACCTCCTTCGGCATCAGAAAGTTCACACTGGAGAACGACCTTTTGAGTGCAGTGAATGTGGAAAAGCCTTCAGCAACAGCTCCACCCTCATTCAGCACCAGAAAGTGCACACTGATCAGAGGCCTTATGAGTGCAGTGAGTGTAGCAAATCCTTCAGCCGCAGCTCCAGCCTGATTCAGCACTGGAGAAGTCACACTGGAGAACGGCCTTTTGAGTGCAGTGAATGTGGGAAAGCCTTTGCTCACAGCTCCAGTCTCATTGAGCACTGGAGAGTTCATACCAGAGAAAAGCCTTATAAGTGCAGTGATTGTGGAAAATTCTTCAGCCAAAACTCCATTCTCATTAAACACCAGAAAGTTCACACAGGAGAAAAGCCTTATGAATGCAGTGAATGTGGAAAATTCTTCAGCCGTAAGTCCACCCTCATTTATCACTGGAGAGTTCACACTGGAGAAAGGCCTTATGAATGCAGTGAATGTGGAAGAGCTTTCAGCAGTAACTCCCACCTGGTTCGTCACCAGAGAGTTCACACTCGAGAGAGGCCCCATGAATGCAGCCAGTGTGGGAAAGCATTTAGTGAAAGATCCACACTTGCTCGTCATCAGATCATTCACACCAGAGAGAGGACTTTTGAATGTGGCCAGTGTGGGAGAATCTTTAGCCGCCTCTGCAATCTTGCTCAGCACAAAAGGATTCACACCTGAGTGAAGGCTTATGAAAGGAGTCTTTATGAGAAAATCTTCAGACATGTCAAACTTCCTGCACCAAAGCACCACACATATACATGTACTGCTCATGTTGAAAAGCCTTCAGAAGTCATCTTACTTTGTCTCACCAGCCTAGGAAACTAGGAAGAGCTGCCTCACCTCTGGAGCCTACAGCAGATACCATAACCTGTCTCCATCCTGCCTGGATCTGAATTTTGCAGCAGTCATCTCCACATGCACAGGGAAAGAAGTTCTGTGTCTCCTTCCACTTTCCTGGAGGGAATTAGGATTGTCTTGAATCCACTGGAATGGATTCCCGTTGCCTCTGAGAATATCAGGTGATGAACTGACCAAGGTGCCTCAAGGAGTGTCCCATTTGGGCTTCTCAGGAAGGTGCATGGTCCTCATGGATGTGGTTAAGAATGCATGTAACCCCATGAATTGTCTGATGAACCCAAAGATCAGCCTACCCTGGAACCATCTACCTTGCTCTGCTCTATAGTACAAGATAATAAAGACCTTATTAATTAAATCACCTTTAATCTTAGGAGTTATGTATTTTGTGTTAAAATCCCTTGGAGTTAGGTTTAAGTCCCCTGGAAGGGAGAGGGTTTTGCCTGATGTGTGGTTCTCCCTTACAGTGGTTCCCACATGTTGCTACTCCCTCCCCTGCCAAAGATGGCCCAGGACAGAGCCTCCTGGAACTTAGGCTTTTTCCATTGCACCTGTGGACAGGATCAAAGCCATGCCCAAGCTCTCAAAGTTCTGATTCCAACAACATAAAGGCAATCAGATCAATCATGGGAGAACAGAAGGGCACTTCTGTATGCACAGGGAGATGGCTCGTGGGGCAGGAGTGCATGGGAGGGAAGGACGCAGGAAAGAGGTAACTGGGAAGAAAGTGGGAAGAGAACTGTTACATTGTGGGGAATTAAGTCAATGTCATAAAGACAAAATGTGTATGAACTGCTATATGAAAAATGAATTTGCTCTGTAAACTTTCTCCCAAATCACAATTTAAAAAAAAAAAAACATAATCAGAGGCTGTGCACTCTGCCTTACTCAGACTTTCTTTTCCCTGATCTGGGCAGTTTCTGACAGCATAACATCTTCAGAGATGGGTCAGGACCTAACCTCCCCACACAGACCAGGCCTCCCTTGGAGCAGTGAGCCCATGTGGTGGCTTAGAATAAAGTAAACTCCTCATTTTTGCTTAAAGAGCATGCATGACCTGGTTCCTACCATCATCCCCTGCTTCTCTCCCCTCATTGGGCCACAAGATCTGGTTGCTTCTCAAGCCAACCAGCTCATCACTTCCCAGGGCCTCTATAGTGCAGTCCTCTGCCTGCAGCACTCTTCTGGAGCCACCTCCTTGGAGAGGTCTTCCCAACCAACAATCTGAAATACTATTCCCTCTCCATCACCTGTTTTATTTCAAAGAATCATTCCATTTGCCCTCCAGTCAGATGATCTGTGCAAAAAAGAACAGAGTTCTGGCCCATGGTGTTTGCTGCCCTCAAGCTCTGGCCCTTTTGCCTCGGTGTCCCACATCCAGCCAGGAGGGCCTGGGAGTTAGCTTTCAGCCTAGAGGTATCCAGCCAGGCTAAGACTCCCCAGAGGATTTGTAAAAACTAGTACCAATCCATTGCCACTATCTGCAATTTCACAGCAGCCCAGGATCCTCTGGACTGACTAGGAGTCTCCATGGCAGTGGCACCCCCTGGAGTCAGTTATGGTTTAGCGGTTTGTCTTTGTCTCCACAGACCCTGGTCCCTCCCTCCTTTGGGGCTGGTATGACCCATTTGTGTGTGCAGGTGCTACACTGTCAGGAGCTTCCTAGGCCTGGGAAGGGCAATTCTGATAAGAAGGCAGACTGCACAACCTGCTGAGTCTTTCTGCTGGAATCTGAGCCTCGAGCCTGGGCACAGCTGTGGTGGGCTGATCATCTGAACTCCAGGAGGCTCTTTCCTGGGCCATCCTGAGCAGCAGAGGGAGTGACAATAGGTGGGAACCATGTGCAGGAGGACCAAAAGGTTTGAAGAAAAAGAGTTATTTACCGGTTTATAGAACCAGAAAGTCTACAGGACAGCTTCAGGCACATCGGGGTCTGGACCTTAAGGAGATCAGAAGGACCCTTCCTCTTGTCATCAGATTGCTTGCTTTCCAAGGCAGACCTCTCTTTAAAGGAAAGATGGTTACCTGCCGCCCCGACTCCCATCTTCCTTGCAGGTGAACTCTGAGAGCTAAAAGCCAGAGTCCTTTGCCTCTCATTAGCCTGCCTCATGTCACATGACCATCCCTGACCTAGTCATTATTGTTTCACATTGACCAGTCCTGAGGCATGTACTCAGTAAATATTTGATGGTAATCGACTGAGTAAGTGATTCATAAACACCAAACTCCCTGCCATTGAGTCGGATCCGACTCATAGCAACCCCTCCTGGGGTTTCCGAGGCAGTATCTCTACAGAAGCAGATTGCCCAATCTTCCTTCTGAGGAGTGGCTGGTGGGTTTGAACTGCCAACTTTCTGGTTAGCAGTCAACTGCCTTAGGCACTATGCCACCAGAGCTCCTAAGTGATTAATAGATATAACCAAACCCACTGCCCTTGAGTAGATTCCAACTCATAGTGACTGTCCCCCCATCCCGTCGGGTTGCCAAAGCTGTAGATCTATGGAAGTAGGTTGCTTTATCTTCTTCTGTGCAGCAACTGGTGGGTTTGAACCACTGACCCTCTGGTTAGCAGCCCAGTGCTTTAACCACAGCACTACCAGAGCTCCTTATTAATCGATACACTTCTTGCTAACTTACTAGCAAAATCCTGTTCAGGGCCTTTCTCCATTTACCTCAGTTACTGTAGTCTGCTAAGGGCTTAGGATCATAACTGATAAAATTCCAGAGCCTGACTTTTCAAATCTTGGAAAGAAGGTTAGGCAATCTACTTCCGTAGTGATACTGCCTCAGAAACCCAAGGAGGGGTTGCTATGGTTCGGATCCAACTGAATGTCAGCAAGTTTTTGTTTTTTTTTTTTTTAGACTTTTCAAATGAAAATCCTCAATGGTTGGGTTGGCAGATATTTTGGTGTATATATCATCTCTACAATTTAAAAAAGAAAAAAAGACTGAGAAAAAAATTAGGTAAGAGACCAGGAGGGCTCCTCACAGGCATCTATAGAGCAAGACAGTGTCCAGCCTTGTGAACCAGTTCATAGTCTTAGAGACATGGTAGCAGGTTGAGAACATACACAGAGTCCCAACCTTGTGCTCTGAATACAGACTTTTGTTTGTAGTCTTAACAATCAACTTGAATCACCACCTAGCATGTCACATACTACAGAAAAATAAACACAAAATAAGCCCTTTTCCTCTAAACATTAAAAAGCAATAAACATCTCTCTTGCAATAGCTCAGTGAAGCCTTCAGTCTTTGTCTGTATACTGTTGGGTCCTTAACAAATAAAGATGTATCCCTTGGTTTCAAACACTCAATTGTGATGATATAATCATGGGGACAAACTGAGGGCCAATAGAGGGGCTGGTGTCCGGCCTGAGATCAGAGTACCAAGGACAAACAAAAGGAGAAAAAGTCAACTCCAAGGAGGGAGTCAGGGAGGCTTCATGGAAGAGACCATCTCAGTTGCATAGTAAAAGGGGGGATCATGGGCGGAGGAGGAGAGGACTGTGGATGGCATCCTTGAAAGGCTTAGGGGACAGGAACATGCCCAGGGGCAGGGAATGGCTGAGTGGATTCCAGAAGAGAGTTGCCACTGGCCAGAGCAGAGGACTGTCTTGGGGCAGCCAAGATGGCAGTTGCAACAATGGGCTGATGGCACCTGCCTGCTAGATGGCGTCTAGGCCAAAAGTGATGGAGTAAGTGAGCCCCACACAAACTAGTACCTTGGGCAGGTCAAAGGGTCAAAGCTACTAAGCCTCTGTGCAAAGTATTCTGGTGTCATCAGGGAAAACTCTTCACTCCTGCTGCCTCTGGCAGGTAGACTTCTGTGTACTGAGCCCCAGAGGGACCAGAAGCAGATTCAGGGCAAGAACAAGAAAATTCACCCAAGTGCCATAGGTGATTTTATGAGCCCTAACCATGACCACTCACACGGGGCACAAGCTCTGATGAGTATCTTCCCGACCCTCATTTTCTTGGAGGCCTGAGTGCCACTTGATCAGCTGGCCTTAAACTCAGCTCCCATATAGACCCAGTTGGTGGTGGTAGACAACTATTACACCTAGGAAGAATGGCCTAAACAGGCTGGGAGTGTTGGGAAGAAATTGAGGGGACCAGACACAAACTCCTTTGTGTTCCTGCATGAGGTTCTACACCTGTGTGATGATCCCCACTCCTGCCATTGGGATTGTGGGGGGAGGCAGATCAGCCTAAGCAGCAGCAGCCTCGGATTCCACCTCCAGTACTAGATGGACACTGTGTCCCAAAGCCCCTCAAATCTGGGGTCTCCCACTCTTCCCCCAAACACTGCTTCTAGAAAAAATTCTCTTCTCATGAAAAAGTACCATTTTTGGACCAGGAACAGAGCTACATTGAAAATACAGGTTTTCCTGAACTGACATTTTACTTGTTTTGGGGAAATAGTTTCCAAATTTTTTAAGACCCGCTCAACGGCAGTGAGTTTGTTTTTTTCAAGGCTGCAGAAGCCAGATGTGGCAATCATGTATTGATCCAGCCCGTCTCTCCCCTGAGCTCTGGGAGGGGAAGCCTGCCACAGTGGTAACACAAATGGAATAACTAGGATCATGGTGAACAAAGGAATCAGGACACTGGCTAGGTCACAAAAGTCACACCCCAGGATCTGCATTTTCTCAGTCCTAAAGTGAGGCCACAGAAGGAACAGTCCTGGGAGTCTATAGGAATCCAGAAAACCTTTAGGTGATTTGCTCTGACAGTGGCCTGACTAACAGGTCTGCAATTCCTGAGTTCTGCACTCCCTCAACCCATGGAACCGTAGTTGCTAGGACATTTGTGGATGTACCTTTAAAATGTCTCAATCCTACTAGTTTACCAGACACCCCCCGACTCCATATTACTTCATACTTAGTGTTTCTACACCTACTTAAGCTTTCCACCTGGTCCCTGTAGGGTTCACAATCAGTGAACATTTCCTTCCAAGTTTTAGATTCCAGAGGACACAGCTTCCCCTGATCAATACTAGAATTTGCAGAACATTCCCTGGGAATGAGGGACCCAAATCTTCTTGGGCCTAGCCACATTCAAGGACTGATAATCCAGGCCACAAAGTCATCCACAAAACCTTTCAGGCACCAGAGGGAATCAGGCCCAACTTAATTGAGAACCACTGCCTGCCATACTCTCCTCTGAGGCAGAAGTTAACCAAAGCCAAACCCACTGTCATCAAGTCAATTACAACTCATAGAGACACTATAGGACAGAGCAGAACTTCCCCATAGGGTTTCCAGGCCTGTAAATCTTTACAGAAGCAGACTGCCTCATCTTTCTCCCATGGGGTGGCTGGTGGGTTCAAACCACCAACCTTTCAGACAGCAGCCGAATGCTTTAACCATTTTGCCACCAGAGCTGCTTTTTGTGTGTGGGGGGGATTTTTTTTTTTTTCAAATTATGATTTGGGTGAAAGTTTAGAGTGCAAATTCACTTCCCATACAGCAGCTCCCATACACTTTGCCTCACGACTTGACTGCAATTTTCCTCAATGTAACAGCTCCCCTCCCACTCCCTCCCCATAGTTACCTCTTCCCTGTGTCCTTCCCTCAGTGCACTCCTGCCCCCTGAGCTGTCTCCTTGTGCATACACAGCTCTTCTCTTCTCCCATGATTGATCTCTCCAAGGAGTGTATCTACCTAATGTAAATGTTCAGCTGATATGCCTATCTTTTGTTTGGCTGGATGCCACAGGAGTGGGTTCAATTCTAGACCTGAAGGGCAGCTAGGGGCCATAGTCTCAGTGGTTCCATTAGGCTCTATCAGACCAGCAAACCTGGTCTCCCCCACCCTTTAAAAAAAGAAAAAAAGATTTTAAGTTTTCTTCCACATTGTTCTCCCACTCTACCCAAGATCTCCTACACAGATCCCTCTCTGAGTGGTTGACAGTGGTAACTGGGCACCATCTAGGTCTTCTGGTCTCAGTCATATGGGCTGAGGATCACATGGTATACCAATCTCTTGGACTAATTGTTTCCGTGCATTTTTAGTTTTCTTCATTCTTCTTTGTTCTGGACAAGGAGAGACCCATTGTTGCACCTAGATGTCTGCTTGTAAGCTTTTAAGATCGCAGTCACTACTCACCAAAGTAGGATGTGGAACAGTGTTTTGTGTAGCATGTTATGCCAATTGAGCTTGATGTCCCCTGTGACCATGGTCCTGAGCCCACAGGTCCAACTACTCGCTCCCTCTCCACCAGAGCTTCTTAGACAAAGTCCAGGACCCCTCCAAAAAATCCATTCCTGGAGGATGGAAAATAGATTGATAATTAAGAGAAAGGTTTGATATGGGTGAAGGGATTTTAAAATTATATATAAAATAATAATATAAAAAAAGAAGAAATAAGATTAGCCATTAGTTGACAGTTTTTGAAGCTAGGTTATGGGCACAGGGATTCATTGCATTAGTCTTTACTTCTGTTTTATGTTTTATAAAATGTTTTATACCACTTTTGGGGAAAAAAAAAATCTGTTCACACAAAGGGAAAAGAAGCCTCAATATTAAAGATGCTGTAAACAATAAGACCTTTATTATTGCACTTTCAACAGCAGTGTAAGACAACCTGTTCCAGGGTAGCATGAATCCATGACAGATAACACGTGTAGTGTTGACAGTGTTCATGAAAAGATTAACGTTCTCTGGAAGCCTCCTGCATATACTGGGCCAGGTCCCCTTGGCCAGAGTTGTGTATCCACCTAAAGAAGTCAGTGGGCAGAGCATGAGGGCTCCTTATGGGCTTGACCATTCATGATTTTCTCCTGGATGTAGAGCACAAAGTATGCCTTTCCTGAGCATGTTGGGGTGACTAGCACACTGTGAAGACTTTCCAGATGATAAAGATAGGATGGCTTCTCCCACAGGCACTGGAAGTGACATAACTGTCAAGGACCCTGGCAAGTCAAAAAGTACAACAAAGCTCCTAAAAGCTTCCCCATACACTTGGCACTCATAGGGAATCTCCCCAAGGAAAGAGTTGTGATGTATGAGGTTTCACTTCTCTCAGACCCTCACAAAAGCTATTCTTGATCACCTGTCTGAAGTGAGACTTTTCATGTTGAACAAAGTGATAGCCATGGTTAAAGGTTTTCCCATCTCAAAATGAACTCACTTCCATGGCTTAAATTCTAACCAAATAATAGGCCTACAAGGTGAATGTGGTGTAGTAAATTACTTAGTGTGGCTTTTTTACCCATAAGTCTTTGTAAACTCCAAGGTGGGAATTGTTATTAGCAACTGAGGAGCTCCTGATTGCTAAAGTCCCCCACCTGGGTTATTTCTATTGGGCGTGGCACAATACAATGTTCTGGGAAGTTCCCACTCTCTCTCACGTGCTCAGAGTTCTGATGCTATGATTGGCTAGTTTGACCACTCTGCTGGGCTCAAAAGGAGGCTTCCTAGAGGCAGAAAGCGCTCTGACTGCTGGTTAAGGAAGACGTGCTGCTGAAAGAGACACAGGCTCCTGAGACACGCGTTGCTTGGAAAGAGACGCAAGAGACATGCATCGCTGAGTGAGACACCGAGGGACCAGCACTGCTGGGAAAGAGACTGTGAGAGACTGTTGGCTGAGGGATGGTGGGCTGGGAGAGAGGCTGAGCATTTTTCCTGAACTCAAATTGTAGCCTGTGGTGCTTCCCTAATAAATCCCATAATCTGTGAGCTCTGTGTGGCCACTGCAGCAAATTATCGAGCCCAGGAAAGGTGGTGGGTGCTTTGGGAGGAATGCTTGGAGAAAGGGCTGGAGGGAGGCAGCATGTCTGACCTTGTAGTAATAGGCCTTGGGTTACTGCTGATAATCCTGTCTTCCTCTTGTAGGGTTAGAGGAGGTCAGAAGATGTGGCCTCCTTGCCCTTTTTGCAGTGAACAATTACACCAGGTAGGTACACTCCTTAGAACTATGGGAGATTAGAAGGGCAGCATTTGTACAAGGAGATAGCTCACAGAGCAGGAATGCACAGAAAAGAATACAGGGAAAAGATAACCAGAATGGGGAGAAAAACAAAACCAAACTCACTGCTATCTGGTTAATTCTGACTCATAGCAATCCCCATTGGGTTTCCAAGATGGTAATCTTTACGGAAGTAGATCGCACCATCTTTCTTCCACAGGGTGGCTGTGGGTTTGAACTGCCAACCTTCCAGTTAGCAACCAAATGCCTTAGGCACTGCACTGCCAGACCCCCTTAGAAATGGGAAGAGTGCTATATTGTGGTGATTGCAATCAATGTCACAAAACAAAAAAAAATGTGTATGAATGGTTGAATGGAAAACAAATGTGCTCTGTAAACTTTCACTCAAACCACAACAAAAAAAATAATTAATTAAAAAATAATAATAAAGGCTTTTCCACATCCCTGTCCTCCTAAGGCCCTTCTCCAGTGTGCACTTTCTTGTGCTGAAGGAGGGTAGAACTATGTTTAAAGGATTTCCCACATTCTGTACACTTATAGGACCTCTCTTCAGTGTGGAACTGTTGGTGCCGATTGCGGTAGGACCGGGTAGTGAAGCATTTCCCACATAGACTGCATTCATAAGGCCGTTCTCCAGTGTGAACTTTCCAGTGCTGATACAGGCCAGAGCGGGTTACATAGGTCTTCCCACATTGGTTGCACTCAAATGGCTTTTCTCCAGTGTGAACCCTCTGGTGAAGAATGAAGCTACTATTGTATTTAAAGAACTTTCCACATTCCCTGCATTCATAGGGCCTTTCACCTATATGAACTTTCCGGTGCCGAATGAGGGTAGACAGAACACTGAAGGCTTTCCCACATTCACTGCACTCATAAGGCCTTTCTCCTGTGTGAATTCTCTCATGCAGGACAAGTGCATCTTTACGGTTAAAAGTTTTCCCACATTCACTACACTTGAAAGGTTTTATTCCAGTGTGAACTTTCTGGTGTTTCCTCAGCTTAGATGGATAGCTGAAGGTCCTCCCACACTCACTACACACATGGGATGTCTCTCCACTGTGAATTTTTTGGTGGTTGACGAGCATTGCTTTATCCTTGGAAGCATTTCTGCCTGTTGGGCACCTGTCTGATCTCTCTTCAGAGTGTGTTATCAGGTGATCAAGAAGAGCAAAGGCCTTCAGGAAGGCTTTTCCACAGTTGCTGCACCTGAAGGGATTCTGTCTTGCGAGGACTCCCTGTTGCAGCCTGAGATTGGAGCTATGTGGGGAAGTATCCCCACACTTGGTACTCCTGCATGTGTGATCCTCCCCGGTGTGAGAAGCCTGAAGATGGAGAAAGCCCAACCTGGCTGGATCATCCTTCCTAGATGCCCCAAGCATAAAGGGCTTCTTTAATGGGTAGACTCTGAAGCTCTTCACATGCTCAGGGGAGGCTCCCTTGTCCTCCAATTCACAAAGACAACCTGAAAGCAGAAAAACGTCACTTACGGAGTGTTGGGTTGGAGGGAGGGGCAACTTCACCACCAATACATGGGCTTGTTGGCAAGAGAAAGGAGAAGGGCCTGGGTGAGGAAGGACCAAATCAGCAGGACAGGACCTGGCCAGCCCACAGAAAGGGAGAGACATCAAGACGGATGTGGACACAAACACAGGGTGCAGCACAGGAAGGAGAGTTGAGGTCTCTACAAAAGGGCTCAGCAGGGCCTTGGCCGCTGCTAAGGTGAGGATGTGCAGAGGGCTATGACTAGTCCCACGAAAAAATGGTTGCAGCAGAGTAGCTGGCATTCAAGCATTATTGAAGAACATGTGCACATCTTATGTCACACATACAGTATGTCAATACTGGGCAATTCTGCACCAGCATAAAGAAAAGGAATTCACAAGACACAGAGACCAAAGAGGTAGCATCAACCAGGGCCTGAGAATCACGGTGGAGATGTCAAGAGAGCAGAGTATGCAGAAGAGAGAGGGATGGTGAGGTTAAGGTGTGGTCACACAGGGTGTGCCAGTCCACACAGGCACCCAGCATGCCTTGAGCCTATCCCTAAAACCATGGCATTTGCCCAGCTCTCACTCACCAAGACAAGGACCCTTCCTGGCCTTTGCTCTGCTGACCGGAGTCACATCTAACATGTTGGGCACATAGGGTTCTTCACTTTCCAACTGGGCAACCATATGGGATCTTGAAGGTGCAAGCCCTAGGGAAGGAAAGGTAGTAAGAGGCCAGACCAAGTTACCCCATTACAGACCACTGGGAGCTTATGTCATCACAGCAAACAGGAAGAAAATGGAGCATAAAAAAATGAGCCTTCTATGAAGCAAAAACTGACAAAATTAAAGGGAGAGATAGAAAATTCAACAATAAATAGCTAGAGACACATTTTCCCACTTTCAGTAATAAAACCACTAGGTAGAAAATGAACAAGGCTATGGCAGACTTGAACAGTATTAAAACCAACTAGACCTAGATGTGTACAGACCATTCCATCTGACAGCAAAATACACATTCTCAAGCTCACATATAATGTGTTCCAGAACAGGCTAGTCAGAAAAAGAGCCTTGATAGATCTCAAAGAATTGAAATAATATATATTCTCTAATCATAGTAAAATTACGTTAGATATCAACAACAGAAAAAAGTCTGGGAAACTCACAAACATGAAATTTAAACAACATGCTCCTAAATAACCAATGGTTCCATTAAAAAAAAGAAAATAAGAAATTACTTTGAGATGGATGAAAACAAAAAGCAGGCCAAAATGCATGGGATATGGCTAAAGCAATGTTTAGAAAGAGTTTATAGCTATAAACACCCATATTAAAAAAGAGAGATTTCCAATCAATAACCTAAATCTCTATTGATAAGGTTTTCCCTGGCCACTTCTTTTGAGAAGTGGATGACCTCTTCCTTCTTCCAAGTCTGTCTCAGTCTGGAAGCTCCACTGAAACCTGTCCACTATGGACAACCCTGCTGGCATTTGAAACACTGGGTAGTACGAGCTCCAGCCTCACAGCAACATGCAAGCCACCACAGTAGGACAAACGGACAGACAAATTCATCTCCCTTAGCTGTTACAACCTTATGAATAGCAGAGAAAAACTCTGACACAGCACTGGACAACTTTATGAATAGCCCTGAAACATTGTCCAATACAGTGCTGGAAAATGAGCCCCTTGGGCCAGAAGGCAGCAAAATACGACTGGGAAAGAGCTGCGTCATCAGAGTAGAACCAACCTTAATCGTATGGAGAAAGCAAAGCTTTTGGGACCTCCATTGCTGATGTGGCACAACTCACACTGAGGAGAAACAGCCGCAAACATCCATCAATAACAGGAACATGGAATGTATGAAGTATGAATCTAGGAAAATTGGAACTTGTCAGAAATGAAATGGAACACATAAAGATTGATATCCTAAGCATTAGTGAGCTGAAATGGACTGGTTTGAGCCATTTTAAATCAGACAACCATGTGATCTACTAAGCTGGGAATGACAAATTGAAGAGGAATGGAGTGGCATTCATTGTCACAAAAAATGTTTCAAGATCTATCCTGAAGTACAATGCTGTCAGTGATAGGATAATATCCATATGGCTACAAAAGAAAGCCAGTTAATACTACTATTACTCAAATTTATGCACCAACCACCAAAGCCAAAGATGAGAAAACTGAAGATATTTTACCAACTTCTGCAGTCTGAAACTGACCAAACATACAATCAAGATGTGCTGATTATCATTAGTGATTGCCATGCAAAAGTTGGAAACAAAGAAGAATCACCAGTAGTTGGAAAATTTGGCCTTGGTGATAGAAATAATGCTGGAGATTGCCTGATAGAATTTTGCAAGACAAACAACTTATTCATTGCAAATACCTTTTTCAAATAACATAAAAGAGAGCTACACACGTGGACTTCACCAGATGGATTGCACAGGAATCAGACTGACTATATCAAGAAGTGATGGAGAAACTCAGTATCTTCAGCCAAAACAAGGCCAGGAGCTGATTGTGGAACAGACCGTCAATTGTTCATATGTAAGTTCAAGCTGAAGTTGAAGACAATTAAAACAAGTCCACAGAGGCAAAATATGACTTTGATTACATCCCTCCTGAATTTAGAGACCATCTAAAGAATAGATTTGATGCATTGAACACCAATGACTAAAAAACAGAGGAATTGTGGGATGACATCAAGAACATCATCCAAGAAGAAAGCAACAGGTCATCAAAAAGACAGGAAAGGAAGAAAAGACCAAATGGATGTCAGAAGAGACTCTGAAACTTGCCTTTGAATGGAAAGTAGCTAAAGCAAACGGAAGAAATGATAAGATAAAAGAGCTAAACAGAAGATTTCAAAGAGCAGCTCAACAAGACAGAGTCAATTATTATAATGAAATGTGCAAAGACATGGAGTTAGAAAGCCAAAAGGGAAGACCATGCTCAGCATTTCTCAAGCTGAAAGAACTGAAGAGGAAATTTAAGCCTCGAGTTGAAATATTGAAAGATTCTATGGGCAATATATTAAATGATGCAGCAAACATCAAAAGAAGATGGAAGGAATACACAGAGTCACTGTACCAAAAAGAATTGGTTGATGATCATCCATTTCAGGAGGTGGCATACAATCAAGAACCAATGGTATTGAAGGAAGAAGTTGAAGCCTCACTGAAGGAAATGGCAAAAAAACAAGGCTCCGGGAATTGATAGGATACCCACTGAGATGTTTCTACAAATGGATGCCACACTAGAGACACTCACCTGGCTATGTCAGGAGATTTGGAAGTCAGCCCTCTGGCCAACTGACTGGAAAAGACCCATATTTGTACCCATTCCAAAGAAAGGTGATCCCACAGAATGTGGAAATTTTCAAACAATATCATTAATATCACACGCAAGTAAAATCTTACTGAAGATAATTCAAAAACGGTTGCAGTATATTGACCGAGAACTTCCAGAAATGCAAGCTGGATTCAGAAGAGGATGTGGAACAAGGGATATCATTGCTAATGTCAGATGGATCATGGCTCAAAGGAAAGAATACCAGGAAGATGTTTCCTTGTGTTTTATTGGCTATGCAAAAGCATTTCATTGTGTGGATCATAACAAATTATGGATAACATTTAAGAATGGGAATTCCAGAACATTTCATTGTACTCATGCAAAATCTGTACATAGACCAGGAGGCTGTCATTTGAACAGAACAAGGAGACACTGCATGGTTTGAAATCAGGAAGGGAGTATGTCAGGGTTGTATCCTTTCACCATACTTATTCAATTTTCACTCTGAGCAAATAATCCGAGAAGCTGGACAATATGAAGAAGAATGTGGCATCAGGATTGGAGGAAGAATCATTAACAACCTGTGATATGCAGATAACACAACTTTGCTTGGTGAAAGTAAGGATGACTTGAAGCTCTTACTGATGAAGATTGAAGACTACAGTCTGCAGTATGGACTACATCTCAATATAAAGAAAACAAAAATCCTCACAACTGGACCTATAACCAGCATCATGATAAATGGAGAAAGGATTGAAGTTGTCAAAGACTTCATATTACTTGCTTCTACAATCAACGCCAGTGGAAGCAGCAGTCAAGATATCAGACAATGTATAGCACTGGAAAAATTGGGTGCAAAAGACCTCTTTCAAGTGGTGAAGAGCAAAGATGTCTCCTTGAGGACTAAAATGCGCCTGACACAAGCCATGGTATTTTCAATCGCCTCATATGCATGTGAGAGCTGGACAATGAATAAAGAAGACTGAAGAAGAGTTGATGTTTTTGAGTTGTGGTGCTGGTGAAGAATGCTAAAATCACCATGAACTGCTAAAAGAACTAACAAATCTGTCCTGGAAGAAGTAGAGCTGGAATGCTCCTTGGAAGTGAGAATGGCCAGACTTTGTCTCACCTGCTTTGGTCATATTGTAAGAAGAGACCATTCCCTGGAGAAGGATGTCATGCTTGGTAAGGTGGAGGGTCAATGAAAGAGGGAAAGGCCCTCAATGACATGGATTGACACAGTGGCTACAATCATGGGCTCAGGTATAGTTGGGATTGTGGAGTTGGCACAGGACCGGGCAGTGTTTTGTTCTGCTGTACATAGGGTCGCTGAGTTGGGATGACTTGACAACAGCTAACAACAACAACATACCTAAATTTCCATCTTAGAGAGACACAGACAGACAGTTGCTGCTGGATTCACTCTAACCTGTGACCACCTGTGTGTAAGAATGCAGCACTGCCAGGCCCTGTACCATCTTCACGACTGCCTGCATACATGAGTCTATGGTTGTGCCTATTGTGCCATCTCACTGAAGGTCTTCATCCTCACTGACCCTCTACTCCATCAAACATAGTGTTTTCTTCCAGCAACTGATCCTCCTGATGATGCCTCCAAAGCAAGTGAATCGCTGTGATCCATAAGGTTTTCATTGGTTAATTCTTGGAAATAAATCGCCAAGCTTTACTTCCTAGTCTGCCTTAGTCTGGAAGCTCTGCTGAAATCTGTCTAGCATGGGTGACACTGTTGGTATTTGAATACCAAAGACACAGCTTCTAGCATCATAGCAACTTGCAAGCCACCACAGTATGACAAACTGACAGATGGGTGACAGATATTGGGAAACTAAAAAGGAAGCAAATAACAAAGACTAGAGTGGTAATAAATGGAGTAGAGAATTGAAAAGCAATGGGAAAAGTCAATGAACAAAAAGTTAGTTCTTTGAAAAGATCAAGACAATTAAACTTTAACTAGATCAGCAAAGATAAAAAGAAGATTCAATTTAGTATAAGCAGGAAGGAAAAGGAGGCACTACTACTGATCTTATAGAAATAAAAAGGATTACAAGAAAATACTACGATATATGTGGCAACAAATTCAAAAACTTAGATGAAATAGACAAATTCTTAGAAACTCAGAAACTGCCAAAACTGACTCAGGAAGAAAAAGAAATCTGAAGGCTTATGTGGTGGTTAAGTTAGTGTGTCAACTTGGCTGGCCCTGGTTGAGTGACCGGGTAACTGAATGTGGTTGTTACCCATAGTAAGATTGGTAATTAACTCTCTAGTGGAATCTATTGGAGCAGCTGAGTAGCTGTTTTGGGTATGTGGTCTGCTTCCTGTATATAAGAAACAGCTTTGGGAATAGTCTCTGGATTATGGCATGCTTGAACCCTACATGTAGCCACGTCATTGTTCAGCAGCCTGCCATACTCTGCTGACCTTGAGACTTTCAATGGACTTGAATTAATGGTCTGCCATGTGGTTTGGTAATATCAGGACTGTGCCTTATTACTTGTCAACCTTGAGCTTGTCAGCCTCAGGAGCGAGCAGCTGAGTGAAGAAAAGCCTCCAGCTCCAGTGGGCCGGGAGCAGGAGACAGAGCTGAAGCCAAGGATGAGGGGCTTTCACTGAGCCCCGAGAGCCTGGCACTTTGAACTCAGACTTAAAGCCTCCAATCTGTAAGAGAATAAACTCCTGTTTCTTCAAGCCATCCTATTTATGGTATATTTCTGTTAGAGTGGCACTAAGTAACCAAAACACCTTGTTGTTGTTGTTGTTGTTGTTGTTGTTATGTGCCGTCGAGTCGGCCCCGACTCATAGCGACCCCTCCTTGGGTTTCCGAGGCAGTATCACTACGGAAGTAGGATTGCCCAACCTTCCTTCCGAGGAGTGGCTGGTGGGTTTGAACCGCCAGCCTTCTGGTTAGCAGTCAAATGCTTTAGCCACTATGCTACCAGAGCTCCCAAAACACCTTATGACAAATAAAAAAACAGAATTAGGAAAAAGAAAAAAAGTAAAAAGATTCCCACAAAGAAAATGCAGGCCCAGATGCCTTCATTGGTAAATCTAAGAACATTTAAGTAAGAGTTAACATCAATCCTTCACAGCTTCTTCCAGTAAAGAGAAGATGAGCGAACAGTCCCCAAAACCACCTATTATGTAATGCAATATATGTGAAATGTACATAAGTGGGAAATCTATAGAAGCTGAAAGCAGAGAAGTGGCTGTCTAGGGCTGGGTGTGGCTGAGTGAACTGGGGGATCATGGCTAAAGGGCACAGGGTTCCTTTTTAAAGTAATGACAATTCTAAAACGGACTGTGGTAATGGTTGCATGACTCTATGGATATACCCAAAGCCACTAGTCTGTAGCTTTTAAATCAAGTTGAATGGTATTTTAATATTTTAATAAAGCTATACATATAAATCAAAAGATACTTCATAGCCTCTTACACACAGCTAAGAGATCTGTGCAGAGAGTGACCATGTCAAGCGCTAGGATTCATTGCCCAAACCTGAACCAGGGAGAGCTCTGCAAATTTTCTTTTGGAAGAAGTAGGTAAAACCTGCAGGACAGAGGGACCGTGACTTTAGCCAAGTCACAGGGTTAGGGAGAGGCTGAGCTAGGTGGGATCCATTGGGCTGACTGTCAAACACTTGACCCCAAATCCTGCATCATAAGGCCCTGCACCAGTAGATGTTGGGGCTGCTAACAGAGCTGCTCAGAGGCAAGGGATGTGCACACGGCCCGTCCTAACACCGACAATACCTACAACCAGGAACTTTGGAAAGGAGCATCATCCATGGCATGGCACTGGGACAGACAGAACCTTCCATACCTTCCATGGAAAAAAGACAGAGTGGTGGTCATGCATTGAATTATGTCCCCAACAAATACGTGTCCACTTGGCTGGGCCATGACTCCCAGTACCCTGTGATCTTCCCTTCTGTGATAGGTTGGAAGTCCTAATTTTTGCCTGTGGTTAAAGGGCAGGATTAATTAAAGATGACTTTCTTTTTCCTAATTCAATTTTTAAAATATGTTAAGAAGGTTGGACAATCTACTTCCGTAGTGATACTGCCTCGTCAACCCAAGGAGGGGTCGCTATGAGTTGGGACCGACTTGACGGCACATAACAACAACAACAACAAATAAGGTTATGTTAGGAGCTCTGGTGGCATAGTGCCTAAGGCATTTGACTGCCAACCAGAAAGTTGGTGGTTCAAACTTCCTCCGTGGAAGGAAGATAAGACAATCTACTTCTGTAAAGACTGACCACCTCGGAAACCCAATGGGAGTCACTATGAGTCAGAATGGCAGTGGGTTTGGTTTGGTTTGGGTTAGGGTTGCATTGGGCTGACTGTGGCCTGCATCATCTTTTATCTTACAAGACATGATAAAAGGAGACAGAAGCCATCAGAGAGGGAGGGACCTGGCTACCACAGAGCACTTCATTTGGACCTGGAGTCCCTGTACTGAGAACTTTCTAGACTTGAGGTAAAACTGATGCCAGACACGTGGAGATCACCACAGAATGTCAGACTTACAGATGTTGAAAGGAGACAAGGACCTTCCTCCAGAGCCAACAGAGAAAAGCCTCCCTTGGAGCTTTCAGACTTGCAGCCTTCTAAACTGTGAGAGAATACATTTTGGTGTGTCCCAGCCATCCACTTGTGCTATTTCTGTTACAGAAGTACTAAATAACTTAGTGGCCAACAGGCTGCAGGAGGGTGTGAGCCACTCACCCAGTGAACCAATGAGTGCCAAGGTCTGCAGCGTCACATCACAGTACAAGTGCCTCTGGGTCACACTGAGAAGCTTCCACTCATCCCGTGAGAAATACACAGCCACATCCTCAAAGGTCACGGCATTCTGCACTGATGAGTTCAGCTGATCCATGGGACCAATGCGTGGGCAGAAAAACAGAGCAAAATATGCACAGATAGACACATCTGGCACTTGATCTGAGACACAGGGCCCCACCCCATCTCCAGGTGACATCCTCTTTCTCTGAGACCCAGGTCCCACCACCACACATACCTTCCTGCTTCCAAGATCCACAGTGCGGAGGGGATATCAGGGCCCCTGGTACCACTGGTGCTTCCCTCTCCTTATGGTGCTATTGGGCATTGCATCCAGCCCACAGTAACAACAGGCTGGTGACTATGTTCTGACACATGGGCCCGCTCTCTCATTCCAGCCAGATTCTTTGTGTCCCCAAACCATAACCAAGTCTACACTCACCTTTCTCCGTTAGGCAACAAGTACCAACTCAGAGCCCTTTGGTTTGTACCCCTGTCTACAACGGCCCTACTCTGTACCACAGCATGCTCACAACTCCCCAACACAAATCTACTAGTTCACCCCATAAGCATCTCCCTGGCAACACACGCTGCTCTGCACATAGTGTCCTGACAGCGCTTGGCTTGAGCAACCAGGATGCCCCACTCGGCTCTGCACAGCCAATGGCCCCCACTGTCCTCAGCACCAACACCCACACATGAAAGAGATCTCCTGCCCCTTCCTCCTCTGCCGATGCACGCGCGGTCCCTTCACCTACCACGGTCTCCCTCACGGCTCCGGAGGCACAGTTAGAACCCTGCTGGTTGGGGATCCCGGCGCCACAGCACCTGGGCCGCCTCCCACTCACCTGTGCCGTCTGGGCCATCGGAACACTGGCGCAGAGCAGAACTCAGAGGCTCTGGACGGGTGCCCTGGCCTCCGCCGACACACCCCTTGCCCAGCCGCCGCCCTGGACGCAGTGATCTCGGGCTCACTGGAAGTTTCCAAGCCCAATCTCGCCGGTGTAAAACATGCCCGAGGACTAGAGACCGTCTCGGGAACCACGAGGACCGAGCAGAGGGGCAGAGGCTGGGAGACTCGTGGAGCCCGCTTCACCATCGACGACACTCTCAGGGAGGCGGAGCCACTGGTCAAGGGTCACGGCGCGTACAGACGCACAGTGAGGACCTCTGCCCTTCCCGCTCCCGCGTGGTCTCCAAGGAAGCCGGCCTGGCCCACGAGCGGGTCTGTCCTGCTGCTTGGACTGACCCACACCCGCTGCACGAGGGCGGGAACCGCAACGCAACCCTGTGGCCAGAACAGAAGCGCCCCCAGATTGAGCTTTCATTGGGTCAGCGCCCGTCTCATACTATGACATTCTTTTCCTGCCTCCTTCTCGGGGCCGCTTGGTCGTTGCCAAGGCGATGGGAGAGGACGCTTCCAAGTTTTATAGGCAGTGCGGGGCGACTACATTACCCAGAGTTCCCCACGTCATGCGTCCGTCACGACGTATCCAATAGCGGCTCAAGACAGAGGGTCTATTCCAGCATGGGCGGAGCCGGTGACGGAGGGACTTCTGCCATCCTCCTTGGACCATTACTTTATGCGTCTCGCGGTGCCGGGAGCTGAGGAACGATGTTTAGATGGTTTCCCTGGCCGGCGGAAACGCGAGCGGTGAAGGCAGACGGTCGAGGAGGTCCCGCCACCGCGTTCTTGTACGCTTTGTGACTGCAGCAAATGTCCCGTCTCCCCGAGCCTCAGTTTCCGGGCAGTAGAGGGAGCTGTTTGGCAAGGAAATGAGCAGGGGTGCCTTGTGGGTCCTCTGGGCTGTGGGTCTTTTACACGTCTGTGTCATGAGTCCACCCGTGCACGGGGTGATGGAGAGGAAAACAGAAATGGCCCGTACACAGTCCCCGCTGTTGGGTCGTGCCTCAGTGAGAGACGGCATGATGGAGGGAGTACAGGCTGCCTCCGCCCCTTTCCAGATGTCCGTGTCCCAGCCTAAGATGCGTCAACAGAGCATCAAAGTTCTGAGCCTGAAGGTTTGTAGACCCTACACTCTGGGTTGTAGACATTGGACAAGGAGACACCCAAGCCCCAGTTCACCCCACTTTTTAGCAAGCACTATTTTAAAAAGTGTTTTATCCATCAAAGAATGTTCATTAGGAGTGATAAGCTTAATTCATAGTCACTGCCAACATTTTTTTAAATTATTATTTTTATTGTGATTTGGGTGAAAGTTCATAGAGAAAATTCATTTTCCATATAGTCGTCCATACACTTTTTGTTTGATGAGACTGACTGCAGTTCCCCACAATGCAACAGCTCTGTTCCCACTTCTTCCCTCTTTCTCTGCCTTTCCCACCCATGTACTCCCCACCCCACCCCCAGGTGTCTTCCTGTGGAAACACTGTCCTTCTTGTTTTCCAGGATTGATCACTCCAAGGAGTGTATTTACCTGATGTAAGAGTTCACCCCATATGCCTATTGTTTACTGACATTTTTTTTTAATGGGTGTACCCTAATTTATTGCAATAGTACTTTGTTATTGGACACTCTCTCCTCAAAAAGAGTACAGGCATTAGATTATTTGGGCATGTCACAGAAGAACTGTGTTTTAAATTTGAGCAGACACTGCCATACAATGGTCAGCTGTACTCTGAGAAACCAAGTATGAACTCACTTGGTCCTAGGCAGACTCATTTATAATCAATTTTGTCGAAACAATATATATATATATATAACAAAATTTTCCAGTCTTAAATGTATAATTCCTGCACGGTTCCACACAAGCTTAAAGGAAGGGCAGCCCGGAAGATGGGCCCCACTCGGTTCAGGGTAGTTTAAGGGTGGCCAGGAAGTGAGCAGAGTGGTTAGGAACAGCTAAGAGAAATTCATTTGTCGGTCAGTTTGTTGTCCTGAGGTGGCTTCATGTTGCTATGAGGCTGGAGGCTATGCTTCTAGTTTGCAAATGCCAGCAGAGTTACCCATGATGGACGGGTTTCAGTGGAGCTTCCAGACTAAGGCAGACTTGGAAGAAGGAACAGGCCATCCACTTCTCAAAGAATTGGCCAATAAAAACCTTATGAATAGCAGTGAAACACTATCTGATATCATTGGAAAACTTTATGAATAGCCCTGAAATATTGTCCAATATAGTGCCAGAAAATAAGCCCATCAAGTCAGAAAGGACTCAAAATATGACTGGGGGAAAGCTGACTCCTCAGAGTACAGATGACCTTCATGATATGGAGGGAGTAAAGCTTTCTGGACCTCCACTGGCTGATATGGCATGACTCAAAATGAGAAGAAACAGATGCAAATATCCATTAATAATTGGAACATGGTATGTACGAAGCATGAATCTGGGAAAACGGGACGTTGTCAATAATGAAATGGAACACATAAAGATTGATATCCTAGGCATTAGTGAGCTGAAATGGACTGGTTTTGGCCATTTTGAATCAGATGATCGTATAAATCTAATATGCTGGGAATGACAAATTGAAGAAGAATGGTGTGGCATTCATCATGACAAAGACTGTTTCAAGATCTATGCTGAAGTACAATACTGTGATAGGCTAATATCTGTATGCCTACAAGGAGGACCAGTTAATACTACTTATCATTCAAATTTATGCACCAACCACCAAAGTCAAAGATGAAGAAACTGAAGATTTCTGCCAACTTCTGCAGTCTGAAATTGACCAAACATGATGCAATAAAAAAGTGTTGATTATCACTAGTGACTAGAATGCAAAAGTTAGAAACAACTTAATCAGTTGTTTAAAGCAAAGATGAATCACTGATAGTTGGAAAATATGGCCTTGGTGATGGAAATAATGCTAGAGATTGCATGATAGAATTTTGCAAGACTAATGATTTATTCACTGCAAATACATTTTTTCAACAACACAAATGGCAGCTATACACACAGACTTCACCAGATGGACTGCATCGGAATCACATTGACTACTTCTGTGGCAAGAGGCAATGGAGAAGCTCAATATCTTCAGCCAAAACAAGGCCAGGAGCTGATTATGGAACAGACCATCAATTGCTCATATGCAAGTTGAAGTTGAAGACAATTAAAACAAGTCCACAAGAGCCAAAATATGACCTTGATTATATGCCTCCTGAATTTGGAGACCATGTACAGTATAGATTTGATGCATTGAACACCAGTGACCAAAAACCAGAGGAACTGTGGGATGACATCAAGAACGCCATCCATGAAGAAAGCAAAAGGTCATTAAAAAGACAGAAAAGGAAGAAAAGAACAAAATAGATGTCAGAAGAGGCACTGAAACTTGCCCTTGAGTGGAGAGTAGCTAAAGCAAATGGAAGAAATGACAAGTTAAAAGAGCTTAACAGAAAATTTCAAAGAGCAGCTTAAGAAGACAAAGCCAATTATTATAATGAAATGTGTAAATACGTGGAGTTAGAAAACCAAAAGGGAAGAATATGCTCACCATTTCTAAGCTGAAAGAACTGAAGAAAAAATTCAAGCCTTGAGTTTCAATGTCAAAAGATTCCATGGGCAACATATTGAACAGTGCAGGAAACATCAAAAGGATGGAAAGAATACACAGTCACTGTACCAAAAAGAATTGGCCGATGTTCACTCATTTCAGGAGGTGGCATATGATCAAGAACCAATGGTATTAAAGGAAGAAGTCGAGGCTGCACTGAAGGAATTGGCGAAGAACAAGGCCCCAGGAATTGACGGAATATGCATTGAGATGTTTCAACAAATGGTTGCTGCACTAGAGGCACTCACTCAGCTATGCTAAGAGATTTGGAAGACGGCTACATGGCCAACTGACTGGAAGAGATCTCTATTTGTACCCATTCCAAAGAACAGTAATCCCACAGAATGTAGAAATTATCAATGAATATCATTAATATTACACACAAGTAAAATCTTACTGAAGATAATTCAAAACAGTTGCAGCAATATGTAGACAGAGAACTTCCAGAAATGCAAGCTGGATTCAGAAGAGGACATGGAACGAGGGATATCATTGCTGATGTTAGATGGATCTTGGCTTAAAGCACAGAATATCAGAAAAATGTTTACTTACGTGTTATTGACTATGCAAAAAGCATTTGATGGT